TAAGAGTGATGGCCTCGGACCTCAAAGTGATGGCCTCCAACCTGAGAGCGATGGCCTCCAAGCTAAGAGCGACGGTCTCCAACCTAAGAGTGATGGCCTCCAACCTAAGAGTGATGGCCTCGGACGTAAAAGTGGTGGCCTCCAAACTAAGAGCAACGGCGTGTCTGGGCATTTCGAAACTGGAGAATACTGGAGTTTGGCACCCGTGTCGGGCTTCGCGCCTGTGGCAGCTCAGGCGGCGGCGGTCTTTCCTGATGAGAAGCCAGCTCCGTCACCACGAATGACAGTATGTGGCATTGCCTCATTTACATTGCCTCCATCATTTGAGCCTGTTCCCACCAGTGTTATCCTTGATACATCCACTCTTCAGGGATGTATTGGCACTCCAAACGTGGTCCAGAAACAACGAGTGTTTCAACGAGGTGAACACACCATCGGTGTCAGGTCCTGAAGTTCGCGTTCGGCGTTGGAAGCGGCCGCCGTCGTTTCCAGCAAAGCCTCCTCGATGTGGTCAGCCTTCAGGAGGATGTCTAAACAACAGGAAACTCTGAGGGAAAACAACGGTTCAACGTGTTGTTGTTGTTGTGGGGGGTGGGGGGTCCTTCTCACACTATTCCCGCCATGTATCTTACTCCCGTTCTGAGTCTCACACGGCAGTCTTGCCCCACCTCAGCCACGGAGCGACTTCCCATCCCCCGGCATGGGATCCATCCGGACTGCATCTCGTTGCTGGGCTGCCCTGCATTTCCATTTGTTCCATTAGCCTGAGTGGTTGGAGTAAAACAGCCGACGCCAGAACAGCGGATCATTCAAAAGGAGGGTCGGACAGCAGAGTACTCAGGAATTTCCATGAGTTAGGTGGATTTCCACGAAGAACATGTGAAAAAACAACCCGGATGGCGATGTAGGGCACGTACTGGCGAAACTGGGCCATGGCGGATGATTCTCCGCCTGCAGTGCGTGGCGTTGAGGTCTTTGAATGAGGGGTTGTTCCAGCGCACGCTCCCGGAACATGGTGTAGCAACAACATCATGGTGTGTCAAATTGTTGTTAGCCAGGAACCCGAAGACAAAAAAAATGAAAATGCACAAACACGATTAAAAACGACTAGCCAAGAGTCCGAAAACAAACCAAAAATGTGTTTTAATAAGGATAGCAATTCATTCCTAGTGGTTTTGCTTTCTAAGCCAAAATGCCGTGAAAAGTCAACCACTCTCGCACCGACCTGCGGCATCCGCCTCCGCTCGGTGGTCGTCCGCGTCATCGGCCTCCGCCCAACGCTTCGTTGCACAAAAACTGAACACCAATGTAGCGAAGCAGGAAGAATATCAAATAGATCACTTTGCCAAGGCCTCGTCTTCATCTTCCTGCAATGTAACTGGTGAGGTGGCGACAACTCAGAAAGTGAGACGCTGAAGGAGCCTGTTGGCCATCCTCCGCGGCCAATTGCCGCTGCAGCTCTGCCTGCTACACACCGCAGCCCACTGAAACACACGTGAAACTGCCACATGCACCTCCACCCACGCTTCGTCTTCTGAAGCTTCCTCCATGTGGCCACAAACCTTCAAAAAATGCAATCACACCAAGCGCAACGAAAAAACAACCGCGCACACCTTCACAGGCCATTGCAAAGGGCATGCAAATCAAATTCCATTCAAGAACCAGTGCTGCTGTGTGGTTTGCTGACACATGCCAACCCCGTGCGTAACTGTGCAGGAACTTTTGCCTCTCTTATCTTGCCCACCCCAACACAACCACCTAATGAGCCGGACGGACCGTGCAAGAGTTTGCCAAAAAATCCACACCCCCAAATGCCAAACCCCAAATCGCGCTGCATAGTCGACAAACCATGACAAACCCACGATTCAATGAAAACGGGACATCTTCCTGACCTGTTGTCCGAGATCAAGACGTTTTTCGCACTATGATATGTCAGCGCAAAATCAAGGGTCGCCAAGAATGGGAACGCATGCCTGCTAGCCAAAATCTTTGACAAACCCGTTGAAAAAATCAAAGCCATTCAAGTTGGCAACCAGAAAGGTGGTAAGGTCTGTGCCTGCTGTACAAGCTCACGAAATAGACAACCAAAGGAAGCCTCTGCTGCATCCGAGCGCCATGTCGGCCACGGACGCTGAGGGAGACGGTGGAAAAGAACAGCGAAGCCGAAAGTTAAGTGTTGTGCTCAGCTGCCTGCAAAAAACTAGGCTGGCGAGCGCCATGCTATAGGCTGGGCGCATGCTTGCACCAAAGCCCGGAAAAATTTGCAATCGTTTGCTGTTGGGGCCCGGCTGTGCCAACTGTGATCATGAGTTTCCTGTTGGGGTCCAGTATTGCCCACTGCAATCTGAAGTTTTCTGTTGAGGTCCGGGGGTGCCCACTGCAATTTGGAGCCTGCTATCTGACGCTTGCTGTTGAGATCTGGGAGTGCCCACTGCGATCTGGCGCTTGCTGTTGAGGTCCAGGAGTGCCCACTGTGATCTGGAGGCTGCTGTTGAGGGAGGAGGAGGCGGAGGAGGAGGAGGAGGACGCGGGATCAGAATCTAACAACCCTCACCTGACAGGTGGGGAAAATCAAAAAAAATGCGACTGAAAATGCTGGGGTATGCTGCAAGAAGACACGCGAAAAAATAATGAAACAGAGAGATGGCCGCCAAATAAAAGGCCCCAGCAGGTCTCCAGACTACATAGCCGCACACAAGCCAAAACAAATGCCCAAACACAAAACACTGCCAAAACTGACGTCAGGACACATGTCAAAACCTAAAACGCCGGTACACTTCCCAGACAAAGGCCACAGCAAATGTCAAAACACATGCCAAAGAAACAAAAACCAAAACAAATGCAGGAATATATGCCCAAACCCATGCCAGGACACTTCTCGGAATACATGCGGGTGATCGAACACATCTTGCACCACGTATCAACACCAATGCGGAGGCCTATGTCAGAACAAACCGGAACACATGGAAGGGTTGATGGCAGAAGAATACAAATCGCAATACACCAGAACGCATGCCACATTTGATGTCAGGAACACATGTCAGAAGTACATGCCACACGAGATGTGAAGCACATGTCAGACATGACAACAGGGCAAAAGTCACAACACATGCCAGAAAGGATGCCAAACCACATTCCAGACCAGAGCCCCCTCCGTTCTCAATGTCGCATTCTGTGTCGCTGGCAGGCATGCCAGACCTGCTGCCTGAACTTGCAGACCATTGTTTTTTGCGCGCGTCACATGTGTCAAGCAACATGCGTCAAGAAAGTCGATCAATATGTCTGCACCGCCTTCTTCCAAGTTAAGGCGCCGATGTTCTCCCAAAATTGTTGTGGGCTGGGCCAGGTAGCCGAATGGAAACCTAACACCGTGGCGTGCTTGCCGCAATACTTAGAAAAATGTGTGTTAAAGTTAATCTAAAATCCTAGGGTATGAGGGTGATGAAAAAAGAACTCATTGCAAAGATCTGCAAAGTGCATTTGTGGAACATGCATTTTTGCAACATGTGTTCCACAAAAAATAGACTCTCCCAACATTCCCCAGCGCGCCTGTTCTGTTTGACTGCATTTTGATAAGAAGGGTATACGGTATTTTGCACAGAACGCACGTGGCAAATGGTTTGGGGGCAGCACATCAACTTCCACTCGTTCTCACGGAAGACGCGTTTCTGGTCTCGACAAGGTTTGGTTGAGGGTTGAGGCTTGAGGCCTTTTGGGTCAGTGCCGAAGACAATCCCACACAAAACATGAAAAATCCCCAAATCCAGAGAAAAAGACACGTGAAAAGAAAAATTCACCGGCGACCTACTTGGACTCTCAAGGTCCAGCCGTCCAGTGAGTGGGGCACGTCTTCACCTCCGCGCCGTCGCTCTGCGAGCCGGCGGGTCGCGGTCGGACCGTTGGCCGCGAGAAAACGACCCGTCCGCTCGTGAGTTCGTGAGCTCGTGGGACGGCTCGTGTAGATAGAGGGAGGGGAGGGAGAGGTGGGATGGAGTCTGGACGTTCTTGCCTCGTCTCAAAAGTCTAAACCGTCGAAGAAGTGATGTTGAGGTCGCAAGAGGCGATACAACACATCGCCTCATATAGTCGACCAGAGTTCGACCAGACTCGACCTGTGCCACTCTGTTCGTGCCTTTGAAGGTTGTTTCGTGAAAAGACATGAAAAATACATAACAGCATCGGTTCACGCCCTTCAAGCTGCGCGCTGAACACTGCCGGTTGCGACGTTTGGGCCATTGGTTTGCGCTGGGATTGGCGCCGCAACATGCGAGGGGCAGACGTGACGTGAGGTGCATGTGGCTCACCACGTTCTGGAAAAAAAAACAGAAATTGTAAATGAAGTGGTGCAGTTTCGTCGGGGCACAGACTATATGTTACTTTTTGAAACGTCCAAATGTTGACAGACTTTTGCCAACGATATACAGAAATATAGTTTATATACATATCAGCTGTCAAATATATGTTAGCCACACGATGTTAGCCAGTTTCGCGCCGCATCCCTTTCCAGCCACACAATGCGTTGCTCAGCAGTCTGAAGCTGAAGGGCAACCCAGACTGTGCACCATACTCCCACGGCTCCCACTACAGCATCTCTTGTTAAGTCAGAGGGTAACCTTCCTAGTCTGCATCCCGCCACACATCGCCACACTCTCGCGAGGATGTCTGCGAGCTGCGTCGTGCATCGTCTGTCTGCGAGGTGATGCAGCTCGGATCCGAGTCCTCCGAGGCGAGGAAAGGATCCGAGGCTCCACTACTGCCGTGCGTCTGGACGGTGTCAAATCTCTGGATGGGTTTGAATTAGGGCCATTAGGGACCTCCAAACGCATCTGGCTGCCAGTAGAAGAGAAATCAAATGAAGAACTATTGGCTAGTCACACTGCAGCATCAGGGTCACGCAGGCTGCGGTCAGCCGCAATGACGCGGGCCCGCGTGATTCGGGACAGTGGGAGGGCGGCAGTCATCAGGGTCGCTCGTGCCTGCCCTGAGATCCCTCAAGCTCAGAACTTGGAACCCACCCTAAGAATCCTTGCAAGCTCTCCATGGCAGGGGTCGGACCCGACCTCTTCGCAGGGGTCCGGGCCCTCACCAAATCCTATCTGTTGCTTCAGGCCCGGGTTCTTAGGGCAAGGAGTAATCGCCCAAGTCAAACGATCTAAGATGTCCAAAGTTGACAGCCATGGACCGTCCAGTTGACAGCCATGAGCTCGGAGTCCAGGCGGAAGAGAGAACGCTTCATGGCCACGCGGTTCGGCGAAGCTCGCCAACATCCTTTTGAAGAAAGCCGGCAGAAGCGCAGAAGACATGGTCAGTGGCGGTGGTAAAAACACCAAGGGCCAAGTACCGTTGGCCGTTGGCCCGCTCGAACACTGACTGTACCCTTTTGGAACACCATCGGCCGAAAACAGGCTAAGACGGTATCGGCTCGCATCCGCCCAGCCGACGCATCGAGACGTCTCTCGCTGTGGGACTTGCTGCAGTCGTCGCAGCTGCGTTGGGCGCAAACGTCGCGAATGCCACACGACGACTCCTCTCCTCGTGACCACTTCGAGTCGAAGAGGAAAGAAGAATGGCAGGGTGGCAGGGTCTTAGGCTGCCCCACGGGATTAACTGGAGGCCGATCGGTGACTCAGTATACATATCAGGGAAAAAAAAAAAAAGAAAACACCCGTTCCTTGGGACATTCTCAGATGTGGGAGGTTCCAAAATCCTACCCCAAACGCTCCGTGAGTTCGTGGCGGACCCCCAGCGGCCACGTCGGGACCGGAGAAGAGAGGATCTCTGGATCCCGAAGGAGAAAAGAACGAAGACACCGGACCGAGAAGTACGCATTTGCCAGCGCACTTGAAGAGATCAATTCGATTGTTTATTATGATAGTCCAGGTATGTTGCCGATGTATTTCGCTGGATGGTCCCCGAGTCGGGCATCCCCACGGTGCGCTTTCCTTACACGCCTGGCGCCCCTCCCCTCCCCACGGTGCGGTGTCGCTCACGGGACCGTCCTCCCATGGGCTCTTCACTGCCCTTATCACCGGTCGCTCGTGGGCCGTCGCGGCGAATCGGTCGCCGTGACTCAGCGCGAAGCAACGAACGTGCGAAAGTTTGAAACAGGTCGTGTGGGGTCGCAGCGAACGGTCGGTGCTGTTGACCCGGCGTGGTGGGTGCTCCCACCCGCCGCAGGACGTCGGAACCGCGCGCGGTCACCGGGCGGCGCCCCGATCGAGTTCACAGGGCGGGAGTGGGTGTCGATGACTGGGCGGAAAGATGGAGAGTCGGTGGGAGTGGGGGGGGTGCCAAGAAAGTGAGCGACGTTAGACTGACATAAATGTTGAGATTCGTCTTTCAGGCGATTCGAGCGTCCTTCTCTGAAACAACTTCGGAAATGCATCAAAAACTGTCTTTGACCTCGCGGAATGCCAACAAGTGATGTCGCAACAGTCTGCAAATCCATCAATGCTTCCACAAAGCGAATCGATTGTTCACTTTCCTGTAAAGCATTGACTACTGATGCGAAAACTAACGAGTCAGGCTCATAACCTGCACTCCCCATCTCAGCTACAGCAGAAAGCATCGCTTCCCACTGCAAGCCAGATGCACAGGCACGAGCAAGCTCGGCAAAAATCACCGAATTCATTCCAACGGAAGCCATGTTCATCAAATCAAAGAGTTGAATCGCAACCTGCCAGTTTGCTGCTTCACAGCATGCAGTGACAGCAGCACTGAATGTGATTGTGTCAGCAGCTGCGGAAAACAAGAGCCTGAGGCATCTTTGCCAGTGCATGGCCTCTTGACATGCCGTCAATGCTGCATTGCATGTGACGGTGTCGGCAGATACCCTCCTTTGATTCATCCTCACCAGGAGACACAAAGAGACTCGCCACTGCCTGGCTCCTTGGCAGGCTGAGTGCAGAGCGTTGTATGAAAAGCTGGACTCCTTCCTCTGCACCAGTTGGCTGGCCCTCTCCCACACCCAGCTGCTCGCGCAGGCACTGGTCACCGAGGAACATGAGATGGTGTCAGCTTTGAGGCTCGACTGACCCATCCAACGCAGCAGTGACAGAGAAGCTGCCCAACGGCCCGCTTTTCCCCAAGCGTTGATCATGGCATTGCAGGAGACCACGTCAACTGCGCTTCCCTTCATCCTCCTCAAACAATCAAGGGCGAAAACCATTTCTCTCCAAAGTCGCTGCCTCAATGATCTTGAATCTTGAATGCGTTCTCATTGAGCATTGAGTGATGATGTGACAAACCTGAAAATAGAAGACGACAACTGGGAACACTAGATGATCACCTGTTACGGGCATAGAAGAAAATCTGTCAGAAAGCTTGTGGAAACTACGCCCAATAGAGAATTCTTCACCGCATCCGAAAACTTGATTTAAGAGCACACAAACCGAAGGAGAAGATGCCTTCCTTAGGAAGGACTTCTTTCATGTTCTTTCTGCAAACTGGAATTGGTCACATTGCACCTTGTACACATTAAGTTGGATGGACACTCCAAAAACCTCTTCCACTTCCCCTTCTCCTCCAAAAGTTCACAGCTCTCTGCCAGTTCGCTTCATTCGCAGTGAGAACCGAGTTAAAGGTCACCGTGTTGCTGGCCACGGCACGTGTCGACATCCCATCCTGAGCAGCGATTTCGAGTGGCTTCGCATGCAAAAAGGAAGACGTCCAGGCGAATGCAGTGCTCGATGTCCATGCGAGACACATTCTTTTGGGAGAAAGGAAGACTGTTTTTCTGCGGGGGGGAGGGGGGCGTGAGCCACAAAGATATCATGAGTTTGGCACTCTGGTGATGGTCGGGAGAACATGCAAAGTATGAAAGGTCATTGTCAATGGTCAAATTCAACTCTTCCCCTGCCGGAAGGCCACACACCACTCACCCTACGAATCCTCGGACCTCTTATCCTCTTCCCAAACGTCAGACCTTCTCCACCCCAACGTCAGGGGACAGGGACGTCGAAAGCCAAGCCTTTCGGAGAAGGAAGGGCCCAGATTCTTGACCCTAGGGCTCCAGTCGTAGCTTCGTTCGGGACGACCCGGGGCGGTGCCATGTTCCGGGTCCAGTCTACGGTGAGGAGGTACAACTGGAGCACCTTCGGGGGGGGCGGATTGGTGGTGATGGATTTGGAGCACGTTCGATCCCTTGGATCGCTCCTACAGTGTCCAACTGCTTGGTGCCGCCGCTTCGTCGAATCTCTCGGTCGTCACCCCCCCATCTTCGCCCGACCCAACACCGGTCGCTCGCCCAGTGAAGTCCGCGTCTCCAGAAGCCACCCGGCCCAGCGCCATCCGTCGCGGGAACCGCCCGCGGCGCCATGGATGGCCGCGCTGGCGGCGATGGTGTCCAGCTGCAGCTGCTGCGACGTGAGCTCCTCGGCGTGAGCGGCGGCGGCTTGTTTTGCTCACGGCAAGTGCAGGAGGTGAATGGCGTGGGACGTGATGAGGGCGCAGAAAAGAGGACGATCCGATCCCAACATCCCGGTCTTGTGAAGGAAACGGCTTCTCGTTGGAGATACCTCTTCAGAGTCCATCCTGGATTTGGGAGGATGTGTGTCTAATTTATTTGGGATGATTTTTGCCTGAGGTGTTTGCCTTTGGAGAGTAGAAAGACTTCGGCGAAACGGGCGTCGATGAACCGACACCGACGGCGTAACTTGAAAGTGAATTGAAAATGGAAAGACTACAGGCGTAACTTCACTCCTGGCGATTACCCATTAAATGGGTGAGCGGTGAGTCACTGGCCTGCGAATAAGTTCGACCAAATGATTTGAAAAAAAATCGTTCTTGGGATAAGTTCCCTGACCGATGGTGATATTCCAGAGAACCCCGGTTTGGAGTTTGGAGGTCCAACTTCACGCATTGGTTCCCACCCGCAATCGGACATATGAACAAAAAAATCAGTAGTATTTGTACTGTTGTGTTAAACCCTCCATGGGATTGGCACATCATTGACACCGGGTCGACCACCCCCCATTGATCGACGCCAGTCCCTGGGTATCATACACCCGCTTATCTTGCTGTAAAGCGGTTCTATCTTGGTGTTTGGGGTTGCTATAGAGTTTTGGACCAACTACGTTGGGATGGTATGTCATCCTGTGCGATTGCCAAGCTGTGCTGCCTCCAGGAGGAACAAGCAGCTCTGCCAAAGGCTGGCCTGACAAATCATGGATTGCAAATAGTTTTATGGCTACGTCACGCGGCTCAAAATTAAACACACAAACGTGCCGAAAACCAACCCAAACTCAGAAATGTTCATGGTAGGTCAACGTCCCCCCGTGATCAAATGTTGTACCAACAATGCCTGCAATTGCCTGATGGTGACTAATAGAACTAGACGACCGTGTGGCCAAAAACACAGCGATGAGGATGATGATGATGATGACGATGATGACGACCATGATGATGGCGACCATGGTGGTGATGGTGATCAAGGAAAACAATGATGATGATCTCAACAAGATAAAGCAGATGCGTTGACCTCAATACTCATGGACACTCTTGCAAGACACACTTTGTGCTGCACTCTTGTAAGACACGCTTGTGGGGAACCCTTGTAAACACTCTTGCTTGACATCACTTGACATTTGTGAGGCAGTTCTGAGTTCACTCTTGCCGACACTCTTGTAACACATTCTTGTGGGACACTGGCGCACGTTTCCCACGAACGGACCCGCGCAAATGCATTTTTTGCCTCCAAGGGCGCACAAAGACCGCTTGGCACAGCGACATCACATACGTAATTTGGTCACACTCTGCGCCACGGACTGCATACTAACAATGTATATAACACTAAGCCTCATAAACGCCACAAAACACCAGCGGCGCGCTGCGTCCAGCTCCCGTTTCCCAGTGCACAGAGCCAGTCAAAAACATTTTCCACCGAGACCGTGCAAAACCGCATGGCACAGCGACGTCGCAAACGTATATAATTCTCAATGTAACACCAAGCCTCGTTGCCACCACACACCATCCCGCTCACCAGCGACATGCCGCGCTTGCACACGCATTTTGTCCCCTTCTGCAAGGGCACGGAACGCGCCACCCCCGCCCCACCGACATGCCGCGCTTGCACACGCATCTTTCCCCTTCTGCAATGGCGGGGAGGCGGGAGCCACGCAAACTTACGCAGCTTCCACCGAGGCCGCGCGAAACTGTATGGCGCAGCGACGACGTAATGAGGCCCACGCGGTGCGCCTAAGCTCTCAGAAGCCGCTTCCCGCACCACATGTGCACTACTATATAGATACAGAGTTGCCAAGCTTTCGCAAGCCACTTCCTGCACTGCATTTGCGCTACAAAATTGCCAGCTGGCTGGCCGGAGCTCCCAGAAGCTGCTGCCCGCGGTACATGAGCACTACAAAGTTGAAAAACCTGAGGCGAGAGTGAGTTGAAGAAGGTCACACACGTTTGCACCGTCCACTTTGATTTTCGACGACAGCATTTTGGCAACTCCCACTCACTCCCACCATGATTTACTTGGCAACTTCCACCTTGATTTTCGACGGCTGTTAAATAAACACTCTGGCAACTTCCACCAGCATTTTCGACGACAGCTGCACGCTTTGAATTGGCAAACCCCTTCGTAAGCTTCCACGACAGTTACACACACTTGGCAAGTCCCGTGATTTGACAACAGTTATACACACTTTGGCCACTTCCAGCTTGATCTGCGATTTTCGACGACTGTTATTCGGTTTGTCAACTTTCCGACGACATTTACACACTTTGGCCAAAAATCGCGCTTTACCTTACATTGAACACTCGACACGCTTGATCTCCGCAACGGCCGTCCGCGGCAGAAGACGATTCACATTATACCACAGTTTCGCGCGTCCGACACGCACCATCTCCGCATTCGCCAGACCAGCCTGTTGCCTTAAGAGAAGGTTAGGAAGACGTCGAAGCTGTAGTCTGTAATCGTGTAGGTGAGTTTTGTAGGCGACTTCACCTGCATCTCAACACCTGTATCTCTACACCCGTATCTCAACACCTGTACCTCAACACCTGTATCTCTACACCTGTGTCTCAACGCCTCTATCCAAACACCTGCATCTAAACACCTGTATCCTAACACCTCTATGTAGGTGTGTTATAGCACTTGCATCACCTACATCTCTCCACCTGTGTGATGATGATGAGGAGGAGGAAGAAGAGGAGGAGGACGACGACGATGAATTGGCAGGCGCTTTCAGGAAATACATCATACACCAATTGGATGGTAAAACCACCGAACCGACGCTCGACCGCGTCGTTTTTGTTGACCGGTTCCCGACGCTGTCTGTCTCTAGACTTCGAGTCACCCCTGTTGGGTGTTTTAACAGAAAATGCAAACAAGAGCAATCATGGACAGAAAGGGGGAGAAAGCAAACTCCCACGCCTGACCAGTGCCTGACCTGTAACCCTTTGGGGCAATCTCAGTCAGTTTGTGCATAGCTCTGCTTGTTAAAAAAGAGGGGGGGCGCCCTCTCGTATCACGCATGACGGCATGGTCTTCCCCAAGAGTTATGCTCGATGTGTTGCCCTGGGTGAATTGGGAGACACAGCATCCTTCTTGAAAAAAGAGAAACAGCCTTGCAGGCACTTAATCGGACTCTTCATATGATCTCATATCGGGGGGGTTGAACGATCAAGAGTCAATGCGTTACAATCCCTCATGAATCCCCCCTTTCTTGAACAGGCCAGCCTTCCTCCCTCCCGCCCCGTTTGCGGCTCCGCGCCGCGCAGGTCGGCACCTGTGCAAGGGCGCTGATCACTGCACTGTAGACAACTGTATCCATCTGTATGGACCGCTGGGCCATCTGGCTCACCAAGTGGAGCGCCGTGGTCCATTGCGTGCTCTTCTCGCCTGGATTCGTGGTTCGAAGAGGAGGGAGACGAGCCCGGAAACCAACAGGATCCAAGCAAAAAGAGGTGAAAATGGTCCGAAAGGCACCAACGAACACCACTTGGCACAAGCAA